ATAGATATTTTTTTCTTGTTTTATATTTATATTTTGTGACATTTTTATTTACCTTTTTTCTGCTACTTTTTATTTTTCAACGTATTTTCTGGGATTTACTGGCGGGTGGATGATAGGGCCAAGTGGAAAAAGATGTGAAGTGTATGTCTGTGAATGAGTTTAGGATATTGAGTGCTTCAGAAATTGGGGAACGTGATTGGCAATGGTTGGGGCCCTGAGGGTGTCGTGTAGGGTAAAATGATGGGTTGGGGTGACGGGGTGAGGACAGAAAAATAAAGAAGTGTCCCAGTAAGAAAGAAATCAGAAGAAGAAAAAAAACGGAAATTAGTGTGTAGTTCAAACAATTATCCGCTGGTCGTAAAGGAAAGAAACGTATATCAAAGGAAATAAAAGAGTAAGAGAGAAAGAAAGATCGAATGAAAGCGAAATAAATTTATGAACTGGGAATGTAGAATGTTTCTTTCTTTTTTTCGTTTCTATCTCTCTATCTATCTATCTATCTATATGTATCTCAGTCTTTTCGCATCTATCTATGTATGTATCTATCTATCTATCTATCTATCTATCTATGTCATTCTGTTTATATCTATCTATCTATCTATCTATCTATCTATCTATATCTCAGTCTTTTCGCATCTATCTCAGTCTGTTGATATCTATCTATCTATTCATCTATCTATCTATCTCATTCATCTATCTATCCCACTCTGCTCCTATCTATCTATCTATCTATCTATCTATCTATCTATCTATCTATCTATCTATCTATATCTCAATCTTTTATCATCTATTCATATCTATCTATTCTATCTATCTATCTATCTATCTATCTATCTATTCATATGTATCTAAATCTTTTTGCATATATCTATCTATTCATATCTATCTATCTATCTATCTATCTATCTATCTATCTATCTATCTATTCATATGTATCTCAATCTTTTCGCATCTATCTATCTATCTATCTATCTATCTATCTATATCTATCTATCTATCTATCTCTCAATTCATATGTATCTCAATCTTTTCGCATCTATCTATCTATTCATATCTATCTACCTATCTATCTATTCATATGTATCTCAATCTTTTCGCATCTATCTATCTATCTATCTCTCTATCTATCTATCTATCTATCTATCAACAGTAGTCTTTTCCTACAGCTCTCTAGCTATCTATCCATATCACTCTCTTTATATATGTGGGGGTATATCTCTATATGTATATATATCAAATAGATATTAAAATATTGAGATAAATATAAACAGACTGTAAAAGATACTATGGATGTGCGGATGGTGTAATGGGTAGCTGCTCGGAATTGGAAATCGGGGAGCGGAGTTTCAGTTCCAATCGGGTTCGTTATATTTACTTACACGCAAATAGTCTTGGGAAAAGGTATGAATCTACCATACCCACCCGCAGCTATGGGGTAATTAATAGGACTTGTTTCAGTAAATTATTATTATCTCATAAAAACAATCTTAGAATCTAAACATAATTTCTGGGTTTAAGTATCCTGAAAAAGGTTGATAAGTCGTAAAAAAATTCAATCAATAGCCGATGAATGGCAAAATGGAAACATATATAATGTTAAAAGTTTTCAAACTAATAATTGTTTATAGATGAAATATCTCCCACCCACCCCCATACACATATCTGATTTGGGAAGTGTTTACCTTTAGCCCCTCGGGTGTTTCTGTATATATATATATATATATATATATATATATATACACACACACACACACATATATATATATATATATATATATATATATAGAAACACCGAATATATAAGGTAAACGCACTTCCCAAATCGGATATGTGTATGGGGTGGTGGGGAGGTATTTCATCTATAAAACAATTATTAGTTTGAAAACCTTTAACATTATATATGTTTCCATTTTGTCATTATATATATATATACATATATATATATACACACACAGATATGAATTGATTTGGTAGGTGATTATACGACCACACCACGGATGACGTCTCCGATTAAACATCGCATAAATCTTTCTCGTACAAAATTCTCGAATATTCATTTCTGCTCAATTTCGTATGGAAACGTAAAGAAAGCAATTTATAAAGAAGTAATTGATTTTTTATCTATTTATTATTTCGACAGATTCTCATTACTCCAAACGTTATTTTTGGGCGAGCACTCATATATGAGTAGACGTTCCGTTTTATTTTTATTTTTTTTTTAAACCGTATATTTAATTTTCATCTACCGACCTGAAGGAAAATGTCTCGACATTCCATGATTTTTTTTCCAAACGGCAGAGCTTCCCTAACAGGTCTAATAATCTTCCAAGCTAGTTCTTTATTTGTGTTTTATAGAGATACGTCTTCTCTGTATCTGGTTAATGGTCATTGTAATATTAGAAGTTGTCTAATAATGAAATGTTCGGTATTCATTGACCAAACATTCAGTGCTAATGTCGTTTGAAATGTAAAAAATATTTGTATTAAAAACCATTTCTGGAAAATAGGTTTCTCAAGTCCATTTTTTCCAGAATTATTAGTGTTTCCTTTGCTAAACCTTTGTTTGATGTAGTGGGAAACGTCTACAACTTGATTATGTTATTATTTTAATTTGAGAAAACGTTTGTATATAGCTGACACTTTAAATATTTCTGGACGTATTTGGCGCCATTCGTGACATCTACATGAAAGTCTCAAATTGGCGAGTCTATTTAAGAGCACGGTGGCGTAATAGATAGCGGCTTGGATTGTGGAATCGGAGAGATGAGTTCGAATTTCAGTCGAATCCATTGCATTCACTTACGTGCTAATACCCTTGGGAAAGGCATGAATCCACTTCTTCTCTCCTCCAGCTATGGGTAAATAGCAGGACAGACCTGGATGGCAACTGGTCTACCTCAGAAAGAAATGGCAACCTACTGCAGGAAAAAATCTGCCTCGTCAGTTATGTATCGAAAGATACATGATCGCCTAAGCGTGTATCAAACATGGCAAAAAGAAGAAAAAAATAAGAACATGACTTGAGTCCTTAGATTTATATCTTGATTTTGTATCACCTTGTGTTGTTAGACAAGACTGCTTTTAGTACTTTCTTTTTCTCCTGTAATAAATTTAGTGTAACTGTTTCATATACAGTGGTGCTTCAGTATTTATTAATTATACATTCTGAATTCTTATAATATATATGATATAATCAAGATATGTGCTTATTCTTATCTCATCTATGAATACCTATGTCATCAGCATAGCACTCATCATCAGAACACACGCCTCATGAAGGAAAACAAGATCTCTCTTTTCTATTAATATATTCATTTGGGATATATGATTGAATGTGTAAATAATCAGTGACCATCTCGTCATATCTGTGCCTGTATATGCACAGTCCACAGCAATCATTTTTTCTGGCGATACCAACGTGATAGCTCTGACAACTAGCGGCTCTCTAAGAGTATGTTAAATAATGCTTCAATCAATTCATTTTTGGCGGTAAAGCAGTATGCTTTGCTTGTACATTCTCTTCGGATTTTATTCCCGACTCATCAAGAAAGCATTTGCGTGATTTTCCACATAGAACTGAGTCTCTGTTGTGTGATATACATATAACTTCGTCCATGCTTTTCGCTATCATCTCCAAACTTGATACCCACAAAGCATGTGGACTCGATGTAATCCCGGCATTTTTCCTTAAGAAATATATACTTGACTTGGTCTCTCCAAGCTCTACAATAGGTGATTTGTTGCTTCTTGTTTTCCGAATTACTGGAAATCCTCTGCTGTAGTTCCTGTTTTGAAAACACTACAGAACTATTTGACTCATCAAACTATCAACCTCTTAGTATTCTACCTCTCTTTGGCAAAGTACTAGAGGCTCTAATCAAATCCGAATTGGCTAAGCATCTTACCATGCAGGATCTTTTTCAGAAAAAAAAATCATTATCATTTTCTCTTCTCTAAGTTATTGCTGAAAGTGTCTTTTCAACTTTTAGATGAGAATGGCGAAGCTCGAGATGTTGCTTTAAATATTTAGCTGTCTTCAACAGCCACTCCTCTTGGGAAACAGCTGCATTGATCTCATGGTCTTTGGGAGACTTGCCATTAACCACTAACTTCATGGTCTTATGTGATAACTGAGAAAGTAATTGCATAACTGGGATACTTGTTTACCAATCCTCTATACCTCACATTGTCAAAAACCTTCGATATACCTAATGCGATCGTCCTCGTGATGTATCTATTGTCTAACATCTCACTTATTCAGTAAGTAATGACATTTAGAATATCAGCAGTGGACCAAGCAGATCGAAATCGGTATTGTTTGTCGCGTAATAGGTTGTTGCTGTCGAAATACTCGAGAAATTAAGAAAAAAACTACATTTTGTACACATAGAAAAAATATCATTGAGACAATGACGTAATGTGTTCAAAATCAGATCTGAAAACATTAAATAAATATCCGAAATAATTTCAACGTTATGGAAATTAAATTATGGAAACTCTAAGTGTTTCATTTTTGTTGTTGTTATTATTATTATTATTATATTTAGATATTTAATATATTTAAACATTTACTTTTTGTAAATTAACCATTTTTATTCAATTCTTTGGTGTATTGTTGCTCAGAAATATATCAACTTTGGAAAGACATTTCTCTCTCAAGAATGGAGTTATGTGGAAAAAACCGTAAAGTATATTTATTATGGAAGTCGTGTCAATTGGAACGCTTTCAACGTATTTATGTATTAATAAGTTCTTATCATGGATAGAATTTTTAAGATGGAAATTTCAGTTGAAGTTTTATCAATGTTTTCCTCTTTTGTCATTTCAGTTTTTTCATATCTTATATGGTATACATGTATAAATTCATAAACGCGTCTTCACACAAACACACACACACACACACACATATATATATATATATGTGTGCGTATGTGTGTGTGTGTGTGTGTGTGTGTGCACGAAAAAAATAAGAACCATCGCCAAAAAAAACGCACATATAC